CTGATGATAGTTTTGATCAGGTCCTGGTCCGTGTACACGTACTGCAAGACCTGTGCATTGGTTATCTTGTCCGTCCACGGAATTTTCAGCATTCTTCGGTAGAGCCACATTTCGAAGGCCTGGAGCTTTTTTTGTAGTGGCTGCTGTTAGAGTCCAAGTTTCTACACCATAGAGTAGAATTGGCCAGATGTAGCATTTCAATGTGCGTAATTTGAGCATGATATTCAAGCTTCTATCAGTAAGGAGTGTTTTCCATTTGGTAAATGCCTGCCTGGCTTGTTCGATTCTGCTCTTGATTTCGGTCTCGTGATTCAGCTGGTCATCAATTAGTACTCCAAGATACTTGAAGCGGTGTACCTGCTCCAACTTTTCGTTATTTAATTTGATCGTGATTTCGCTAGGAGTCCTGCTGACCTTCATCACCTTTGTTTTCTTTTTGTTGATTCGTAAACCCCATGCTTGACTTTTTGTGTTCACTTCATTCAAGATAGTCTGTAAATCTTGTTCGGAATCCGCTATTAATGCTGTGTCGTCGGCATATCTTAGGTTATTGATGTAGTGTCCATTAACTTTTATGCCGATCTCCTTGTCGGCCAGTGTTTGGTCAAAAATCATTTCCGAATAGATATTGAAAAGAATGGGAGATAATGGGCAGCCCTGCCGGACGCCTTTTTGTATTGGGATTGGGTCTGTCAGGTCGTTGTCATAGCGGAGCCGGGCTGTTTGATTCCAGTAGAGAGTGGTGATAAAGTTGATATCGTTAGTTTCAAGCCCAAGTTTTCTCAGTTGATTAATTAGGCGGCCGTGGTCCACTGAGTCAAAGGCTTTCTCATAGTCAATAAAACATATGTACACTTCTTTTTGATGTTCATAGCACCTCTGTAGCAGTATTTGTAAGCAGAAAATTGCCTCTCTGGTGCCCAGCCCCCTGCAGAAGCCAAACTGTGTGTTTCCTAGTGCACGTTCGCATTTACATCTTATTCTTTGCTGAATCACCTTGAGGAAGACTTTTAGCACCTGGCTCATTAAACTGATCAGCCTGAAGTCTTCGCATTTTCGGCTGGTAGCCTTTTTTGGTAGGGCCACAAAGATTGATTGGAGCCAGTCAGATGGAATAACATTGTTGTTGTAGATTTGATTGAACCATTTTGTTAGTTGTTGGATGTTGTTGTAGTCCAGCTGCTTCAGCAGTTCCACGTGAATCTGGTCAGGTCCACAGGCCTTGCCTGGCTTTGCTTTACTAATGGCATGTTCCACTTCAGATGTTAGTATGTGGAGATTGTCTTCCTGCACTTGTTGCAATTCTGCTGGTTTTCTATTGGCGCGAAACAGATTGTATATGTAGTTCTTCCAGGTGTCAAGTTTGGCTTGTTTGCTTAATATAAGTTGATTGTTGTCCGTATATAAGCTTGGGATAGGAGTCAGTTTGTAGATGCTTCCAGCTTCTTTGAGCTTCTTGTGCAGGTTAAAGTTATCATTTTTCTTGATTAGATTTTCAATTTCTGCACACTGCTCTTCCATCCATTTTTCCTTCGCCTTTCGTATTTCTTGTTTGATCTTTTGTTGTATTTCTTTGTATTTTTCCCGGTTGTTATCACTTTTGAGTGTTCTCCGATTGTCCATTAGATCTAGAATGTGCTGGGTCATCCACCGTTGTTTCTTTTTCGGTGCCTGATGTCCCAGCAGGGTTTCTGCTGTTTCGTTGATGCACTGTTTCAGTGAACGCCCGAACGCTTGTACGTCTGTTGTTGCTGCTTCGATCGATCTGATTGAATTGTTGAGATGCAACTGTAATTGTCGCCTGAAGGCATTATTCTTCAGCTTCTCCAGATCAAATCTTTTTGTTGCTCTTGTGTGTTTTGCTGATCGCAGTTTGAGGCGTAGTGTTACTGTCACTGGGTTATGGTCTGATGATATGTCAGCTCCAGGGTACGTTTTTGCCCTGAGGGCACTTGACTTATATCTGATGTTAATTAAGATGTAATCAATTTGGTTCCTGACGATACTGTTGTCAGCGTCTTGTGGCGAGGTCCAGGTGTACAGTCGTCGAGGAGGTAGTTTAAACTATAACAAGTATTTACGACACTAAATTTTTCTTCTTGACAGAACTGTACAAGCCTGTCACCTCGTTCATTCCGTGTCCCCAAGCCATGTTCTCCGACTATGTTTTGTAGTTTTCCTTGACCGACTTTGGCATTAAAGTCACCGAGGATGACCGTAATGTCGTGCTTCTTCAATGGCTTTAAGGTGTTGCTTAGCTGGTTGTAGAACAATTCTATTTCTTGATCGTCTTTGTTCGCTGTAGATGCGTAGACCTGGAGCACGTTCAGGTTGATCTTATTACCTGCGAACTGTATTAGTGCGATTCGTTCTGATATTGGGATGTTGGGTTTTGCGTTTTCTGACCACCACTTGTAAAGGTCTGCCGTCTGATCTAGGCAAACAGTTTTCATATAAAGTGACACAAACAGTGATATTTTTTAGTGATAAGGACTATTAGTAACACAATTTGATGTAACAATAAATAAATAATGCATGTCATGACACGATATACTCACAAATAAAACAAATATGCCCGTGGTGTCGCTACCGCACCCACCACAATGAAACAGGTTGTAACCTGTCACCCGCAAAATGTACACATATTCTGCCGAACATTCGGTGCTTCGGCCAAGAGCGTAGCCAAATATTTGGTATTCGGCAAAATCACTATTCATGGCATCACTAGTAATTTTGGTCTGTATCTTTAATATCAGACTCCCCTCATGTTAATAATCAATTTTATTGTTTCAATTACAAAATTGAAATTTGTGACACGAGTTTTATACTAACTGTTGTTGTTATTGTAATACAGTAGAGCATCGTTTATCCGAAACATCAGTTATCCGAAAGAATTTCAGTCAGCAAATTTAAATTTTTGCTAGTGCTGTGGCACTGCAATCTTTGGCAATATCTTGGGCTACTCCAATATTTTTTTTTTGTTGATGCGTGTGTTTTAGCTGGCAGCACTGACACTTTTGTGTGGTGTTTTTCTGAGGACTGTCTGTCGTGCTGAGTCGAACGTTTTTGATACTAGATTAATTAACTTCTAAAGTGTAATTTTTTTTGTTTTTATATTTTTCAATATATTTATTTCGTTTGTAAAAAATAAAGAAATAATTTTTAAAGATACAATAGTCACAATTATTATTTTAAAAAGTCTACATTAGGCTTAACATCGACGAAAATTCAACGCAAAGCGACACGCAACAGAGAAAAATTTCAACACAGGATAGGTTAATATATTTTTTCGTACATAATCGATTATCCGAAAAACAAGTTATCCGAACAACCCCAGTCCCCAATTGATTCGGATAAACGACACTCTACTGTATATATTTTGTTTTGTAGTCACAAAGTCCAGTACTGGCATTTATAATTTAATAAAGGTTTTACTTTTTTTTTTTTTTTCTTTTTTATGAACAAAGTTCATAAAATTTATGTAGAATTGTTTCTTTGATAATTTTAACCTTGCATTCATTCCTTTAAACAAAATAATCCTTTTTTATTTGTAGAATTTTTGTTACAGTCTCACTAGAAAAATGATTAGATTCAGAGGCAAGTAAAATTATATCTTTTGCAAACATATCTCATGCAAAATAAATGCATTCATATAATTTTTCATGTCAGTATATTTAAACTTAACATTGTTTTCTCTGTTTTGTATTTTACAATATTTGTATTTTAAATGGGATCATTCTTCTTCTTCTTCTTCTGTAATAAATTTCACATAATAATCATTCAAATTTACCATGTAAAATACTAAATAAAATTACATTTGATTTCCTAGATGATTTATGTAATTCAATAATAAGAATGATTACAGATCATTATGATTTGATACTTTTACAATAGTGTAAATTAAATTAATTATCAAACTTTTATACTTGCTCGTCAACCTGAGCAAATAATGTATTTTGCAGTGCAATTATAGACCGTGAAAATTATGACTTTGCATTGCAATGCAGTATTGTGACTAAAGATTTTTGCATCTTAGCAATATTTTGCTGTAATGCAGAAATCTTTGGTGTGCTTTCCAAAATAAGTAAAAATAAATAGTATTTACTGTTATGTTTGTGCTATTAACATTGTTAAATGATATAATGCTAATAGCATACAGACAAAATTACACTGACATTTCTACAATTCTGATGCAAGAACCCACTTGCAGTAACATTATGACAATGTCAACATAAGAATTGCATTTATGAAACCAAAAGTGCAATGATTGATACAACTCATTTCTGTTCAATAGCCAAATACAGTAATACCTCGACTTGCGTGAACCCGGAGTTACGCAATTTTCAAATCTCGTCGATTTGTCGCCACGCAACTCTCGATTACTCACTCCCCCCACACTATTGTTTGGCTTGTGATCGGATGTGTTGTGCGGAATCGACGCATAGCTACAATTTATTTTGTGTTATTTATTTCTGTGTTTGTTATATCTAAGGAGACTCAAGAGACTCTATGTGGTGATTTCTTGTAACTGTGAATGAATCAAAAGACGAGATAAGATTAATGAGAACATTTATTAGCTTACATACGTCCGACTTGGGTTTTACACTAATTGTGAAATTATACCCCCGACTTACACGAATTCAACTTACATGGTTATCGCTCGGTCCCACCTATCGCATAAGTTCGGGGTATTACTGTACACAGTGCAATTGCTCTGAGTGGAAAAAACACATTATTGTAGCTATGTTGTTCCTTCCTGCAAAGAACAAAATTCTTCTAAAATCTGATAAACAAAATGCCATCTGAAGCTGGATTTGAACCCACAATGAAATAAATTAGTAATAATGATTTAGCATATTATATCACCAAACAGAGTTTGTGAAGTTGTCAAATTTGTTCAAATATGCTTATATTTGTATATACCAAATTTACTGTCTAAGCAAACTATAAACTTAACAGAAAAATATGAAAAATTATGGACAATTAGGAACCTTTCTTACTTGATGATCGATAAGAAATTCAATTGGAAATGGTTCACCACAGAATTCACATGGTATATCTTCAGGTTGATTCTGATCACTTTTCGTTCTGTGAATACTATCTTCTAATACATCAGACTCCTCATATGCATTTTTAATTTCACAAAAAGACTGAAAATAAAAAGCAAATTAAAATTATTTTCCTCTTACAACTTAATCTTACTTTAGAATGATTAAATAAACAATTAGATACATCTTGAAGTGATCATAAATATTCAAACCTGTATTAATTGGAAGCAGAACAACTTTGTAATATTTGTGAAAATGCAAAATAGCTAAAACAAGTGCAAAAGCAAAAATATTGCAAAATATAAGGAAAATATTACAAGACATTTATTAGATGTTGATAAAGAATGGTATTTCTGTGATTCCACTGTTAATTACCATTTTCAAATTAGCAATCCTCACTGTTACACCGCAAAAGTTAAAAAACACTTGGAGGAAAATTGAGCAGATTCGCCATTGTTCGTGCTACTGTACTAATGGAGCTCACGTACTGTATGTGAATTGTATCTTTTCCTTTAAAATGGATATATCAGAAACAGGTGTTTGATAAACCCTGTCTTTAACATAACCCCCCCCAAAAAAAAGAAATCCAGTGGAGTTATGTCGAGCAATTGCGGAGGCCAAGATATGGGTCCTTCATGACCAATTAATCCATCTACCTCAGGCAATTGATACCAGAAAAAACTCTTAGATGTCTTCATTCTCTTGCAGCAAACTGCATTTCATTTCACCTGTTAGTATTTTTATTATTCATGTTTAGAATGATAAAGATCTTTCTTGGACACCCTGTATATTGGTTTCAGTATATTGTCAATTGTACCTTAATTCTGAATGATTTTAAAATACTCTTATAATGCAAAATAACAATAAGTATTTTATGTGTAAAAATTAAACTCAGTAATGTTTGTGGGAGGTTCAAAAATTGAGTACAAAGTTAGTCTCTAGCTATAGCAACAAATTAGTGAATGGTATTTGTGTATTGTTTACATCTCTATTGTACATTTTGATGGAGTCTTTAAAGAAATTTTTGTATAGTGCATTTAAGTCTTTTCATCTCACTTTGTCTTATTTGCACCAAAAAATTAATTCTTTATACTTGACATAAATTACATGTTATGTATAAATTTAAAGTTTTGATGTATCTCTACATTGTGTGACTCTTATTTTTGCACTCTTTCTCTAATGTAATTTCTGATACATCACTTTTACCGATTAAGTCAGCATTTCACTATTTTTTATATCTTGCAATAGTTTTGATATGTTTATTGTCAACATTCCATTTTTGTTAAAATTGTAAGAAAAAACAAATTAATATAAATTTTGAGAAGTTGGGAAACTGCATGCTTTTGAGTATGAAATGCCTTGAGGACAAGCACAGTGTTCTTCAAACTTCCAGTGGACCCCCTTAATAAAGCTTTGATGGCTCATTAGAATAGAATTATGGTAGTATTTTATATATATTTTGAAACAATGATTACTTTTAATATAAATATAATAATGTCTTTGTTTTAAAAATTACACATTAATTTAAATAATTTTATATTTTTTAATTTAATCATTAACAATGTTCCTAATAAAGATAAATATTAGGAAAAGCATTTTCATTATTCCATGATCTAATTTGTTTCTTTTTTCCCATAAACTCTCAGAAGTACATGGACTACAGATTGAGAAACACTGCTTATCCAAATTACCTTGGGTACCGGGATAACAAAAAAAATTTCCAGTATTCAGCAGTAGCAACAGTAATGGGTTCATTGCTTTGAACACAAATGTATTCAGATACTTGTACTGGATGCGACAGATTCTATTTCCCTACCATTCCACTTTTTCAAACATTACACGTTTGCTTTAAGAAATTGGCCACTATAGTGCCCAAGTTGTCTGTTATGGGAGCACTTTTCATTATTACAAAATAAAGTTGTCCGTATTTATTACAAATGCAAAAAAAAAGTTTTCTTTTTTCCCTGTACCTTCTAATTTTACTTTTTAACAGATAAAGACTATGGACAGCTATTAGCAACATATTGAGAAAAGTGAAATTATATAGTGGAAATTACTTCAAGTTGTTTACTAAATTGTATAAATTAATAAATTTCATCTCCATAACAAATAAACAATATGTACAGTACCTGATGCTCTATCAGTGCTGTGGGTAAAAACTTGTTATGACAGAATTCACAAGGAATGAGTGAATTTTCTTTATTTGTGGCTGTGTTTTTAGAAGAAGGAACATTTGATGTCTCCTTGGTGGATGGCGTGTTTCCTCCAGACTGAGAATGATGAATGAGATCGGGTCTACATCCAGACTACATATAAAATGTAAGCAACAAATTGAAATATAATGAATGCATTATATTTAATAAATGAGTTTTAACACTCACTTGATGTAAAATGAGCAATTCCAGAGGGAACAGATCTCCACAAAATTCACAGGGTATGTCTTCTTCTGAATAACCCTCGCCTCCTTCGGGTAACAAGTCAAATTCGGATAATGATTCCGACCTACAGGTGGCCTGTAAAATGTAAGTTATAGTTAACCTTAAGTATATAAAATTTTAATTAAAAATAAAAATATAGTAATACCCCGAACTTTCACGATAACCACGTAAGTCGAATTCGCGTAAGTCGGGGTATAATTTCGCAATTTGTGTAAAATCCAAGTCGGATGTATGTAAACTAATAAATGTTCTTGTTAATATTATCTTGTCTTTTGATTCATTCACGGTTACAAGAAATCACCAGATAGAGTCTGAGAGACTATCTGGTGATTTCTTGTAAGTCTCTGTAGATATAACAAATACAGAAATAAATAACACAAAATAAATTGTAGGTATGTGTCAATTCCACGCGACACGTCCAAACATGTAAGCTGAACAATAGTGTGGGGGTAGTGAGTAATCAAGAGTTGTGTGGCGCTCAAACAAAAGACAAATTGACGAGATTTGAAAATCACGTAACTCCAGGTTTGCGTAAGTAAGTGTAGCGTAAGTCGAGGTATTACTGTATAACAGTAAAAAGGAAAAGTATATTTTGTTTATTACACAAGTTTTGATTATATGAATTTAGTAAATGTAAACAAACTGTATTATTACATACTAGTAAATTATACATAAAGAGAAATGATAAAACAGAGTGGCAACATCTTTATGCATATTAGACAAAAGGTATCTATTGGCTCTCTTCCATTTTCTGTAGAGAGAACAGAAGAGATGGGAAGTTGGGAGAAACCTCTCCATTCCCAAATTCTCAGTTCTGTCCTTCCTTAAGCACTATGATTCTGCTGAATTCATTGTGCCAAAGAGATGTGGAAGATGAAAGACTAAATTGGACAACGAGATTGCATGTTTATCTGAGAAACTGAGACTTGATGAGCAGGAACATACCAGAATCTGCAGCATTATGGGAAAGAAAAGAATGGTAGGCAAGTTTTGATCAAAATAACCACTGAAAGGTAAAAGAAAACTATTACAGATTCTACAAAGCCAAGCAATAGCCTTTACTAATGAAGGCCAGAAGAAGAAACGATATCAGTGGATTAAGGATCATCGTTGTTGGATAGATCAGGATTGGCATTGAATAATATGGTCCAACAAGTTGACTTTCGAGATCTTGTATGTATGGAAATACTGGATGCAGAATCATCAGAATGACAAATGAAAGCCTGAAGAAAAGCTGCATCAAATAGCAAGTTAATGTTCAACTGCACAACACCAGGATGTAAATAAAACTTATGACTCACCAACCAATCAACCGGTGTGAATAACGTTTAAGTGACAAACGTTTTCGTTATCCCTTCTGGGGTTAATTCTTATTTCAAGTAGGCTGGCCATTGATATTAAATTAAATTTTCAAAGCCTGCAGCAGAACCACGTGCATTAATTTTAAGGAAGAGATATGTCTGTCGATGGCATGGCAGGCTATACTTGACAAAAACATTTAATTTTTAATTGTATTTTGAACCGAATGCATGCACAGTAATTTTCTGCCTTCCAACTCGACTTAATGTTTGATCATTTTTATACAAATATACACATCAATCAAAACCAGATATCTTAAGCAAATATACCTACAACTGCAGTAAATGATTGGGCTAAATTTTGGATATATGATTATAGATTAGAAATTAATTTGGCACTAGAGTGAGGCATTAGGCACCATCTCTTATTAAAATTAATAATTATAATATTTAATTAATTTAGATTAAACTGGAAGAAAAGAATCGGCCCAAAGCAAGACTCAAACTCACAACTCCTGCTTACCATGCAGACGTGTTGCCAGTTATGCTACCCAGACCTTCGGGCGCTCATTTTTTTAAAACATCTTATGGAGAATGCATTCACATACTGTATTCAAAATCTGTACCATTGGATTTATTTTCGAATGTCAATGGCCAGCCTACTTGAATTAAGAACTGACTTGAAGTGCCAGAAGGGGTAACAAAAACATTTGTCACTTAAACGTTATTCACACCGGTTGATTGGTTGGTGAGTCATAAGTTTTATAGCAAGTTAAGTTTCCACTTAAGATGCAAATATGAGTATGTTTCAATATTGCTGGCATAGGTGATATGGTTCCTTATGATTAAATGTTAGAGGCAGTTGACTAGAAGAGACTGTTAAACGACACCCTCCTCCCATTTCTTGACAAACTGGCTCCTAAAGGTAACTTCCCATTTCAACAGTGCTAAAGGTAATACTGTAGCTTCCATTGTTGCATGGTTAAGAAACCACAACATCTAGGTTATTGACTAGCTATCCAATTCTCCACATGTGAACCCTATAGAAGATTTATGACTTTTCAACAAGAAATAAGTCCATAAAATAGAGCCAAGGAACAAAAACAAATTGATAACCATTTTAAGAAAAGAATCTTGCAAGATGTAGGCCAGTGTCTTCTGTCTACTATGCCAACATCAAGTCTCCAAAATGACAGGGGCGACTTGTATTCTGCTAAAGGAGGGATTACAAAATGGTAAGGAAATCAGGAAAACCTGATTTCCTTTCCATTTTGTAATCTCTCCTTTAGCAGAATACAAACTTCCTGTACAAACTTCAAAGATAGTGAAAGATGGTGGTTTTTCAACCAAGGTCGTCTTTTTTTTCCAATTATGGTCACATGTACTGTATTTCAAACTTGCTTTCTATGAATTGGAAATAAAAGAAGATTTCTTTTTATATTTTATCAGTTATTTTCCAAACATGAATAACTTGCAGATGTAAACACTCAACAAACTTTCCTTTTATTCATGCAGAAACTTCTAGGTTGGTGACAAGGTACTGTACTTATAAATGCTTCTAACTCACCTGATGCTCAATTAAAGCAACATCGGGGAAAAAGTCACCACAAAATTCGCAGGGAAAAATTGTACCAACTGAAAGAAAAAGTTAAAATTAAACAAACTAACTACATTTCTAAATATTTTATTTTTAAAGTTAAAATGTATCATGATTTTATTTCATTAACAGTATTACTTATGAAATAAAATTTAATAGCTGCTGCAAAGATTCTCTTGCTTTAAAAAATTGCAGGGCAAATTTAGATTTACAAAAAATATATATTTCTTGGTAGACTAAACATACTGGTTGAGTCTTTTTCATTCGGTCCTTTCACACGCTGTTGAGGTAATAACGATTCCATGGCAGAATTGATCTTTTATTGTAGCCTATTCATCTGCCATCCAGTGCAAATTTTAACTTTTTTGCATTGGATGGCAGATGAGTACCCTACAATATAAGCTCAACTCTGCCGTCGAATCATTATTACCTTAACAGCGTGTGAAAGGACCGAATGAAATAGACTCATCCAGTATGTATAGTCTACCAAGAAATATATATTTTTTGTAAATTCTCTTGTTTTGTTTATAGTTTGAATTTTATTCAATGTATTTCTACAAAATTTTAATACTCTCTATCTTCTTATCTTCACTAAATTTTTTTTACCATAAAACATTATAAATGATACACATTACTATTAAACAAGATTACATTAGTATTTGTAAAAGTATAGTGCATTAGTGTTATATCAACAAGTTAAATGGTAGTGAAAAATCACTATTTTTATAACTCCCATAAATAACAAAATGACAGAATGCAACATAATCACTAAGACACAAGAAAATCGGCTTTCCTAATAATGCAGGTTTAAAGACAAAAATGAGAAATTATTATGAAATCCCAGAGGCATTTTTGGAAATAAAACACACATATCATACATTTTCTTTAGGATCTGCTTTAAATGTTTAAAAATGAATATTTTCCTTTAAATCTGGTTTTAAGATACTACAGTAAGCTACTGTATCAATCTAACTTACACTATTACCATAATGTAAGTTAGATTGATATAGACTTACATACAAGTATTTAATTGTATCATCACTCAGTAAGTTGTCTGACAGCTCTAGTAAACTTTGAAATACATAAACATGACCTGTCAACTTGCTTAGTCCAGTTTAATTTATTGTCAACAAAGTCTTAGTTGAGAACACAGGTTAAATAGAAAAAATTTACTCAATTTACTTAAATAATTTTGCTAAAATTTTAACTCTCAACCATGACAGTGGAAAGTGATTCCATTTTCCCACGGACTTGCTTCCTTATCCAGAGATGACATATCATCTGACTGCGCCACTTTTGACTGTATCGGAAACATATTATTAAAAATTCACTATTGGTTTAAGTAACCTTTATTACCAAAATGGACATAGAACCTAACAGGAGAGGACCAAATAAAAGGAAAAGAGCCTGTCATCATAGAGAGTCTGTCATCAAGAGTTCACTCCAGTCTTGAATATACACTTGTCTTGATAAAAATCATCGCCGCCAATTATCTTCAGGGACTAAATCCCAGTGAAATCCTATCTGCCAAGTGGCTACACCATCCTATTCGAAAAGAACAAAATCCTACATGCCAAGAGGCAACATCCTCCTCCTAAGATCACAACAAAGGGCCTACAACTTCAGGTAAATATCAACTCATGATCATTTGTAAACTCTCTCTCATAGTTGGACCCACTAAGATCGGTCAAATCACTTATCTATTAAACTTACCCTACATATATATATAAATCAAGGCACAGGTATTAATTAATTTTACTAAATGAGTTGTAGAGTGTACTTCTTTCGAGTCTGTTGAACTTCCTCCATCCCGAAACCAATTGCCTATACATGAAATCACTTGCACAGAGAAACAAAATTAGTGGTTTCTGTGTCTATGCATAAGACATAGTGTGTCAGAATCCTGATGTAGCATCAATGAAGTGGTGCCGATCCTTTGATCAAGTAGTGCAGAAGCATAGGGGATGCTTGCACACAGTCACACCTTGATATTTTATGTTATTCTTGATTTTTATTGTAGTTATTAACACAAGTGTATATTTAATCTATTAATATAAATTTGTTTCTGTTTTTATAAATTATTCCATAAGTACAAAATGATATGTGATACCAATCATCAAAAATACTGGCTTAGTATGTAAATAAATCACATCAATAACCAGCATAATGAAAAATTTTTACAGCAACTAATGCTGTGTATAATGGATATTCTCAGTTTAACCAATAGAACAAACAGAAATACAAAAAATTAAAATCTTAAAACATTTTTAAATTACAGATCAAGCATGTGTAGAGTTGTGCATGTCAAATACAACAGCTTGCTGCAATGAATGAGGGCAGCTCAAATAGCACTCTCTAGTTCAGAGTTTCTCAACCTTTCTGAGGCTGTGGAACACCATTCATATACTTTTTATTACACGGAGCATTAGCATCAATACATTCAAAAATTGCTAAGCAATTCCATGTTTACTATTTTCAGGAAACAATAAAGCAATAAACTAATAAACGTTAATATATTGAATAAAATAGAAACATGGAATTATCTATGAATATAGTAATGGGAATAAATTTGAATAAAAACTTTAAAATCTTTTCTTTTGTGGAACACTGGTTAAGAACCACTGTCTAGTCTGACAAAATAGGGTACGTCTTGAAGTTAACTGCCATCCCTCTCCTGAAGACTACAAAATTTTCAGGAGTGGGATGGCAATTAACATTGATTCCAAAATAAAACAGTGTGATATACCTCTTTTTATTTTAATATTCTGTGAGTAGCAATTAATTTATACCACAGTATCAATTACAAACATGCAAACTATGCATGCATTGTTAAAAGCCATAATTATATAATTTTGTTAAGAATATCAAGAATATCTTATAGTTAACTGAATCAAATGCTTTAGACCAGTGGTCCCCAACTTTTTTATCACCGCGGACCGGTCAACGTTTGATATTTTACCGCAGCCCACTGAGGGTGGACGTTGATTGTTTATATTTTAGATTGATTTAATTTAATAATTTTAATTTAATTGTATTTAAACATGTCTTCAAAATAAAATATAGTTACACCAAAAAATGAATATAATGTGATTTAACATTTTAACTCACTAGAACGCTAAATCAATGAGAACCCTGAGTTGTTTCTTTGAAACAAGATGGTTCCATCTGGGGGTAATAGGAGACAATGACACCTAAAGTGTGTTTCTTATGTCAGTTTATTCCATTGTTCTGTCGTCCATTAAAAGTCGCACAAACCCGAGAGAAATACACCATAGTAAATAAAATGGAAATACCAGTAATTTAAGGTTCCTTGGGCGGCCTGGTACCATTTGATCCATGGACCGATACTGTTCCGCGGCCCGGGGGTTGGGGACCACTGCTTTAGACAAATCCAGGTAAATGGACATTTGATATTTAAATTATCTAATTGTTGTAGTAATCAATAGGATGACTAACACACCAAATTAATATATAATAACAAAAACAAAGACACTGAGTTCAGCGTTACATGCATACGTTTTTTATCGCAAGCACTTTCAACGAACTTATAGTCGTCGTCCTCAGGCGAATACAGATATTTACCTGTTATTATAATTGTTGTATCATATCATTGTAGTTATTAGCTTATAATTTTTCAATTGTCATGAGTTATCCTTCTTGTATATCAGAAAAATCTTGCATCAACTTAAGATTACTGGATGTAATATATTTTTAATATATCAATAGAAAAGAGTAACAGAGGGTTTTTGGTTAAGTCAATTCCATCTTTAAAACTGCTACATTTTTATTATCAATATCAGTGTTTATGCTACAAGTAGTATTTATAATTTCATCAGAGATTATATAATTTATGATAAAAGTATACTGATTGCTTCAGTCAAATTATTTTGTGTACCTTTATTAAACTCTCCATAAGTCTTATATATTGCTGCAAATTCTTTCAAAACTTTTTATAGGGCATCCAGTTAATGAAATAATATTTGTATTTAATAATTTGTTTATTTCTTTCCGAAATTTATTGTTACTACTTACATTTTTAAAAATTGCTATTGTAACATTTTGTTTAATCTTTTCTTGCCATTATTTCATTCATTTTAATATGTAACTGCTTTCTTGATTCATCAATCCTCATATTTTGTATTTGTTTAAACAACAGCTTTTTACAATTTATTAATGCTTTTTTTTATCTCCTCTGATGAAAATTTTTTAATGTACTTAATATTTATTTATCTTATTTCACTGCATTTTGGTTAAAGGTTTAAACATATTTATGAGGTTTACCAACATAAAAACTACAACATCAGGTCATTAAGACTTGCAATAATGTACTGTACATATCTTTCCATACATGCTCCTTTCTTGGCCACAACTAAAACTTATTAAGTACTTTTCATGTCATTTTTCTACAATATATATATATATATATATATGGGCAGTAGGTTTATATATTTTTCATGCAGAATAGATATGGAAATTGAATAACAATCAGATAATAGATAATTAATATGATTATAAACTGATGTTTCATCTGTAGTTAGTATACAAAAGAATCATTAGTTGCAATTTTAGTTGATGTAAAATATGTAGATATTTTTAGATTATAAGACAAGATGAAATTTATTAAGTATCTGGTATAATAATCTTCATGGTTCAATAAATTAATACAATATTATGATTTAATATCTAGATATTTTTAATTTTATCCCTATGTTCAGCATATTAAATTATTTGTTCTAATATAGTAAAATAATACTTATAATTAATTGTCTTCTATATATTGTTACAATCAATTTACCAGCACCAAATATCAATATATCCTAGTATTTATTAATGTAAGTAATTTGTGCTGATATAGTGATATTAAGTTTTAGTAGTAAAGTATGAGACAACAGAATATGTATTTTGAAGTTACTTTTCACTATCATCTACTTTAGCAATTTTTATCATTGTGTCTTGTTTTAATTTTTGGCATAGATATAACCAACACACCTTACTACTGAGAAATCACCTTTATTAAGCTAAATAAACGTTTTCAACCCATTTCATGGGCCATCCTCAGGTTAAAGACAGTCGAATGAATGGCTTTTCGAACACGTTCAAATTTAAATTATATTAGAGGATGGCCCATGAAATGGGTTGAAAACGTTTGTTTAGCTTAATAAAGGTGCTTTCTCAGTAGTAAGGTGTGTTGACTTTATAATGTTAAAGAATCTGAGTGTGAATAGGAGAATAGATATAACCATTCTTTGTCCAAACATATTTAATCTGATTAATTTCCTTTAACTATCTTTTATAATACATTTTCTCGTGAACAGTAATCAGTCAGTCTTTCATTAATACAAATGTAATTATAACAAAATATGATCTACTTGAACCTATAATTGGTGCATACAAAGTTTAATCTTCCAAAACAAACGTTTTCCTAACACCTTCTGGGTTCTTCTTCAGGTAAATCAGCTAAATCAAACTCGAATACAAAAATTTGAACTAATCCAAATGCTGTTGTGTTTCAAATGTTTGGTTCGTTTACGTATTCTGTCACGTGACATGTTTGAAAGTGCTCAAAGTTAATATTCAATATCCAAACGTTAGTGTAAGTTATGTCAAAATACTTGACATATGTGAGTGTGAGATAAAACATCAATAATAATCTCACAGGTTCCACAGTGATTTTTCTTTACCACGTAATAAATAGTACAATGCTATCACTCCGTATGTAGTAAGGCCTGCCATGCCATGAAAAGGCCAATCTCATCCCTTATATTAATGCAGGTGGATGTGCAATAAGCCTTAAAAATTTCCATCTTCTCTAACCATTTCAGGTGGTCAATGTGTGGTGTGGTAACAATTAATTGCACTCTAGTGAAGTCTGCCTCAATTTCGGGATCAGTGGCGTAAGTGGAGAGTGAGGTGGTACATCTATGTAATTTCCAGTTATTATTCCACATTGATTTGTTGATATTTGCAATTCATTTTTCTTAATTATATTAACTGTATATTTCATTATAATCCTAGGAAGTTTTACTACAAAGTTACTAGTTTTTTTTAAACAGTTTTAGTTAATTGGTAAGCCCCAGTTATTAAATTTTTTAGAAGTCATTAAGAATTAAAATATTTTTACATCTAATTCTGTAGAACCTTCATTGATAAGTTTAGGAATCCCTCATATGTTTAACAAGATGCTCATTTCTTTTTTATCATCTTGGTATGTACTCTTGATTTTCTGAAAAGAAATTCTGCTAGTCTACCAAGGGTGCTCATGCTTTGGTTTTAGTGCATAGAATCACTAATACACTTTTTAGTATACATAAAAATTATTTTATTTATGAAAAGTTTTTGAATATTTGGCATCGTAATAAAGAAGAATGAAGAGATCAAATGCCTTCACATTATCTTAAGAGCAAAAATTTTAACTTTTATATTATATTGGATTTCAAATGCAATATTAAATTGGGCAATACAACCAAAACTGGACAAAAAACCAAAAGCCTTTACAATCCAGTATTTAATTTTCTTAAAAACATTTTTGGTTAATTTAAGTAGTCTTCTTCATGTCTGAACTCTATGTAATGACAGGATTACAGAATACTGATCCAAATAATTCTAATGTAGTGCACATGCCATTTAAAATATTTTGTTTTTTGTTTTTCTGATATTAGAGTCTTTAACTCATTTGCACATGTTGAGTATTACAATAAAAACCAGTATACAATTAAACTGCAATGTGGAGTAGTAGTAGTAGTTCTGTGATGTTCACTTGTAAGGAACCAAGTCCGTGCTTTATTTTTAGTTTACTTTTACTTTGCTTTATTATATTTTTGTTTGGGGCTTATGTTTGGTTAGGACGTAGGTTTCCTCACCCACCACCCTAACGTTCAAAAACGAGAAGATAAAAGATTAACCAACTCACCGATGACGAAACAATAGCGCCATAGCTAGCATTGCACTCACGTGCACGCCCGAGCGGCAGAATTGTAAGTCCGCACTGAAGGGGGGGACACCCCAATAGACTTTCTAGGAACTTGTGTAACCTTAACAAAACATCCCGATAATTGTTAAAGAAATGCTGTAAAAGGTTAACAAAGTATTGTCGAGAAATAAGCTACCAGATAACGAAGAGAAAACAATGTTACGTGTAGATATGTAAATGAGGGGAGTGGCTACAGTAGAACTGTGACGTCACCTCATACTATAAGTACAGTAGCTCAAGTGAAGACAGAAGAGGTGAGCTCCTGAACCGAAAGCGTTGGTCTGCTGGTAGCAGTGAATAGGTGTCGAATAGGAAATCCTAGTAGGAGATTGAAGGTTCGATTTTGGTGATTTGGAAATAGGAAAGTCTTGAGTAGAAGAAAAGGTTCCGAGTATTAATTGAGGTGACGGTTAGGATTGATAGTTATAAGAGAATTTGTATCTAAGTTAAGAATTGGATTTTGTTTTGTCGGAATTCCAAGGGGAATAGTTCTAAGTTAGAATAAGACTTAAGTTTGTCGGGTTGATTTGTGATTTGATTTTTGATTAATAAATTTGTTGTTTGTTTATAAATCTTGTACATAGTATTGGTTAAACTTGATTAAACATTTATTATTGAGATTTTTTTGTGACTAACTTTGTCCTTAATTTATTTCAGTGCACGCTAAAAGTCCAGGCCTGGCAACTAACAAACGCGAACCCGCGTAAAGTACCCGTTAGGTCCCGGCTCTAAGAAAAATATCGTTGTAGAGCAACAAATTAAAAAGAGTACTTTACACACTTGCTATGACTTCATTAGATATAAACACAACAATCAATGTTAAATCATTCCTGGCACAGGTAGTTGTTTTTATAATGTCTTTGTAATCTGATATTCTTGTACAATATCATAAATATTTTGATTTTGTACATACAAGGTAAAATCTTGAATAAACTGTTATTTAACTGTATTGCTTTTATGAATTCTAATCTAGTAACATGACTTTGTATATCAGTTTGATGCTTACACCACACTGTATCAATTAAAATGCCAACTGGATATTAATTGTAAATCATAATGCTAGATTCTTAACTCTGGCACTGGCTAGTGATGTTAAAATATTACTATGGACTCCAGTATATTTCCAGTTTAGAATTTTAAGATTGCTAGCCACATATATAATATGATAAGCAGTATAAATTAATATAGTCCTATGATATATATTCATTTGATATAAACTGGTCCAATACATAATTTTATTTCCATTCCATAAAATTAATAGTTGGTGGGATTTAACTTCTCTTCTAAAATTTAATTTTATGTATAGAAAATCCTTTACAAATTATATTACAGACATAAGTAACTTTTACAAAACATTAATATGGAAAGTATAATAGTACATCATACTTTTAAACTTAAAACTTATACTGTACTTACAATTATCTGCAATTACATTTTCATTTTTAACTAATGAACGTGTTGGTGTTTCAGCACAATTTCTTGTCTCATGTTCTGTCCTGTTCTTTATCATTACATACTGTTTACACAGAGGACAGATCTCAGTCCTGCTGCCACAGTACGATTCATGTTCTTCCATTTCGTCCAAGGAGCATTCTAATTCACAATATGAACACTGCACCACTCTCTTGGAGCACAACAATTTCTTAAAATAAATGTCTAAAATTTACTTATAAAAATTTAATATAAACAAAATTAAGTTTAAATAACTTACATGTTCTTCCAACTTCCAGCGTTCCATGACTTTAGAACACTTCTCACAGACGATTTGACTATGCATTTCTGTATTATGGATTTCAATTTCATTTCTAGAGACAGATTCATTACATTTTTTACATAATACTATATTGCGTTGACAATGCATAGTGTGCATTAAGTAATTTGCAGCAGCTATGTCTTTTTTGCTGTCAAAATTTAATAAAAATAGTTAATCTTTATAACTTTAAATAATTAACTGGTGGTTAAATAAGTAGTTACATTACACCAATATAATATTAAAACTTTATTTTCTTGTACTTATCATTACAAAAGACAGATTATGATAATGAACAATGTATCATGCTACTGTACTATCTGATATAAGTGCATTTTAGTGACACCAATAAGTTGTCAGAAAAAATTTTATTAGTAAAATAAATAGAGATGACCCAATAATAATGACAGTCTTGAAAATATATTAATTTACTAGCTGTTACCCATGACTTCACATGTGCAGATTTTGCAAGCAAACCCCATTTATATTCAGTATTTCAACAACCAATAAAAACATACATAACACCTACCGCTGAGAATGATGAGAATTGCTAAGAATCAAATTAACTATTTCCAATTTGATCAATTTTCTGGAACATTTACAATCGTTCTATAATTGAACCAATACGCAATAACAAATTCGAATTTAAAATGGTTTGAGCATTTGGTTAAAAAATCGAAATATATAAAAATATTTATAACAATGTCTGAAATATTATCAATTTAATATACCTGAGTACTCAATGAAGACTAAACATAGTTGAAACCAAAAAATCGCATCTAAAATAGTACAATAAAAACCATTCTTCAGGTTAAGCCTTAATCTTTTCCCTCTCCCCCTCAAGGAAATTTTGAAAAATCCCTTCTTAGTGTGCATTTTTCATGACGTACCCTAACTGTGCACAAAATTTTACCTCTTTAGGTTCAGCGGTTTTCTCTGTGCGATGATGAATCAATCACTCAGTCAGAACAAGTAATTTTATATATCTAGATGACATCAAATGCCCTTGTCATGTATAAGAAGCCATGAAACTTGATGGCTTTATATTGAAAGATAACTAAGAGTTTAAAGAATTTTTCCAACAGTTCCTGGAGATAAAACAAATACTTTTGTAACTTTATAAAATTTAATAAATCAATGTGTAAAATAGTTTCTGTAACTTCTTTTGAATCAATTTTAAAAAATGATTAAAAAGAAACTTACACTTTAATGTCATTATGTAATTTTTAACAATTAAAATCAGATTAAGCAGTGAGAAATAGTTAAATTTTTGTAACCATCTTATGCTTGCTGAAAAATACAGTCACCTTGCCTTAAAAGAACACTGGTAAAGTAAATTCTCACATTAAAACAAACTTTGTCACTGCCCTGACAAAGCACCATTCCTGCAACATTAATTTTCACACAAGAAAGCAAACATAAATTTTACCAGAATCTGTTAAACTAAACTGTAAATTTCTTTTGCAACTCCGAAGAAATAACCATTTTTCCAATAACAATTTTATTAGTCATGTAGAAAAGTGTAAAAAGCAAGTAGAATAGATTTTCTCCTTGTCAGCAATGATGGATTCAATCTCTGACTGTTAAGCAATTCAAACATCTGATTTCAGGGACCATTCTACTGTACTCAAAAAATAGGGGTTAAAGTTTAAGAATATCTATCTCTTTAAATGGATACAGTCCCAAGCAAACATGTACTAGTTTATATATTGAGGGGAGCATATGGTGATGCTAGAATTGGTTAATTTGCACCAAATTTAAATCCTTTTATTACTCTTTTGGAACCAAAAAATATTTTTTACTTTTTCAAACAATCTTCAACAGGAAAAAAAAAATCACAGATTTCTTTTAGCTTTTTTTTTTAATCACTCTGATTTAACTTAGTTTTATTTAACTTTATTTAGTAAATTAATTCAAAATATTATAATTTAGAGATTTCAGTCACCTACTAATCTTTAGCTCTGTAAATTATACAACCTTGACACTGAAAATAATTAATACAAATTTTCAATAAAGCAAACTAACAACTGTTCCCCTAGAGATTTGTATTAACACAAATTGACTGCATTTATTCAATATTTATATCACCACAAGCATTTTCAACCTAAATTCTATAGGTCATCATCAGATAGAATACTGTATCCAAACTTTTTCAAAATGTAACATTTCAAGATGGAACATTTGAACACATACAATTTAAGCATATAAAATTAAAATAAATTTATCGGACTATAGAGTACTGCCACCAACCCCTTGTAGTCCAAAACTTTTTTGAAAAGGAGTACCTTGTAATCTGACAAATTACATACTTATAAAAATGGTAAGATCAAATCTATATGTACTACATAATATATGATATGGGACTTAGTGAATTAAATAACACAAGAGATAGCATAGGGTTTATTATAAAATTAACATCATTAACGCTATAGCACTTGCAAAAAATAATAACTAAACATATTGATGTCAATCAATTACATACAACATATGTAAGTATTTCCAAGGTACATACTATGTGTAAGATATCAGAAATTCTTATACAGGTAACCCCCGTATAACACGGCACTTCTATAGCACAAATTCGCTCTAACACGGTTCGAGAATTGGTACCATCCCCCATATAACACGATACTTTTATAGCACGGATTCACTCTGACACGGTTCGAGAAATGGGTAAAACCCTCGTACAACATGAAATGTAATAAATTTTTACACACTGAAGTATTAATAGTTCACGAAAATTATTATTTTCGTGAACTATTAATACTTCAGTGTGTAAATTTTCTTTTCTCGTCTTCATACACATGGTCCTTCGCGAAAATTGTTTCAATTTTGCCAGATCTCGACGCTTCTGCTTCTGGTGTTGCCAGATGTTTTTCTCTTATTCCGTAAGTGCTTAGCACCATATAAGGAAATTTATAAAGATCTTTTAACTAGAAGCAAGCAATCTAAAATTACATACACTTTTTGTAAAAGGTAAAGCATGAATCTGAAAATAATGCAGAAAAATGCTCAGAGGATAACGATAACTTGCCAAAAATAAAACGCTCTCGGTAATAGTGCTTTTAGTGATGACAAAGAAAACATTGCTTATATTAATATGTATCACTTAAGAAAATTTTAATAAAGATATTTATCTTAATTATGAAAATATAGTAGCATGTTTTTTAATTTTTGGAACCTAACCCTCCTTTTCATACTAGTTCTTTGTTTCGCATAACACGGCAATTTTTTGGAACGTAACTATTGCGTTATACGGGGGTTACCTGTATTAGAAATAGTCTTTAATAATAACATTTCGCAAATTACGCAACAATTGTTGTTCTTAGCTACCTGAGAAAGTCTCCTGTTACATTTTCTCGAAAGCAACATGATGCTTTCTCGTGAACTATTAACCTCTGCACGGCCGAAATCGTCCGTGAATATCATCAGAGACGGCCGAAAAGGGTTAGTCACCGTTTTAGTCCTCGGAGAAAATAGAAGTCGTCCTCCCTTCAATCATCATCCATCTAATCTTCACCAAATTAATTGTCACCCATAGGATAAACTTTTTTGTGTGTGTGTTTTAGTGCACAATCACCTGGATAACTAAAAATACCCATCAGAACTAAATACATCCTGAAAAAAACCCATAAGAAGATCTTGTTCTCCGATTCAACAAGACCCAACAGGGATCTATTACCAAAGGTAATTATCACCCCGCGAATCGTATGTGAACTCTCTCTCTCTCTCTCCGCGACAACACTTTATCCAATAGATTTTTAAATAAACCATTGTTAATTGCTAAGTGTATCTGAGTCACTTCCAATGTTGTCTCTTGAATTGACATTACGAATCCGTCTGATCACGTACGGGACCGCTCGCTCGACGGCATGACGTAATCGCTGTCTCGGTTTCCGTGTTTTAAAAAACACGGTGGTGTCAATCCTGACAGGGCACCAAGGAGGTGCCGACCGAAAGGTCACATATGTATGATCTTAATTTGAAAATGGATAAACAAATAAATTTATGGTGCATGCAAATATTCATCAATTTTCTTTTGTTTTACATTGGCTAAACATGAGAGTAAGGCCTTGTCTCTCAGTCTCCTCAGAAATAAAAGTTCATTGTATGGTGCACCATTCTCTTCAGCCAATTGCATACTGAGCTACATATAGACATGTCGGATTATAGGGAGTTCCAGGTTAGACGGGCCGGATTACTGCGGGTCTACTGTACTTATATAATAATACTAATTTGTTATTTCGTTTATTTGCCTTAAAATCTCTTGAAATCAGATAGAACAAGTATTATATTATTTGCTAATTTTTCCAAGGATATTTTATTTTTAGATTGATACTTTTTTTAAATAATAATATTGTGATTAATATAAAAAATAAATAAATAAA